GAAGCATCATTATTATTATCACCTGCAGTCTATAGATAAGAAGTGAAGATTTAGAGAAGTTACGCAAGAGCCCAAAGTCACCCAGCTTGTGTGTGGTGTTAGCCAAGGTTTCCAAAGCATGGACACCAGTAGCATTTCCTCAGGCACAAAGGGAAGGTAGAGAGTGGGAAGAATAAAATATGGAGCTGCTCATCCATGGGATTTTACAAAACAAAGAAATTAGTGTTAAATTCCAAAGTAAAATGTTGAAAAAATAATTTATGGCAGCTCATATATTAAAAATTGAGGAAGCTCTGTAGCAACCTGGGCTTAATAAAAGGAATAAATGACTTTATAAAGTAGACAAAATGTATAATTTAACAAATGTGTTTAAGCTTGCGCTTCCTGTGGAGCAGCTATGTGATGAGAGAGGGAGGGGGAGGCAGAGATAGAGAGGAGGAGACTGAATTGGAGAAGGAGAGAGATAATGGCTAAGAAGAAAGGAAAGTAACTCATCCTGAGAGTAATGCAAAGGATTCTTACTAAAAGCAATGAAAAGAAATCACAAAAAAAGTTTGTGTCATGAAAATCTAAAACATTTGGGCACGTATTTAATTTCATTGTTTAAGGTAAGGTTTGGAGAATGATTCCTTAGCTAATCTTTTCTTTAAAAAAAAAAAAAAAAAGAGGCACATTAAGTCATTTGAACACAATGATTACAAGAAAGGTTTATATGAAAGTCCCTGTTTCTCAGAGCCTCCCCATAACTCTTGCCATTTACGTCACCATTTTTGAGTCCAGAGTATCGAAGCCAAGAACTATGCAATCATGAATAAACAGCAAACATGCCATGGTGGGTTTATTTTCCTTACTCAGGGTTTTCTTTGGGGTGTATATAGTAGGAGTTACATCATGCATAGTCAATTGTATTGTTCATCGTCTGATTATGCACATCCCTCCCAGGAAAGCTTCCATCTCTGAGATGCTCAATTCTATTACCTAACTCTGAGGCACAATGAAATATTCATGAGGACAATGCCAGTATAGAGGTGTGAAATGCGAAATCCCCAGGAGAAGATGAAATTATTTTCATTCATTGCTCAATCACAATGTATTTCATATAATACAGTGTGGCAAGCTGCATACATGATCAAAAACTATATCTTTATAAACCATGGCACCTCATACTGTACTTATCATTGCTATAGATATGCGGAGTAATGCCTCACCTGGGCAGAATGCCGATGAGAGGCAGAAGACAGTCAAGCCTCTGAGTAACTCCTACACATTTACTCCCAAGGCTCAGACCTCAAACTGCCATGTTTTATTCAGTGGAGAGTTTATTAGACCCTCAGTCTGAACATTTTTATTTTTATTTTACATACAATTCTAAGAAATTTGGTATAGCATAAGATTAATCTAAATCAAAATCTCAGGCTCTTCCATTTATTAGCTCCCATGCATCCGCTGGTAAGGAATTTAATTTTTCAAAGCCTCCATTTTCTCACTTGTAAAATGGGTATATTTCATAGAGTAGGTATGAAGATGTAATCACATTCATGTAAAGTATAAACACAGAGTGCCCGAGTTTAATTGAAGATTTGAAAAAAACACAAATATATATATAAATATAGAGAGAGATAGATAGATAGATATAGATATAGATATAAAAATATACAGAGGAAATGTGGGACTGGTGAGAAGAGAAGAAGCCATAGCTTTTTATCTTGCTCAGTATCTCCTTATCTCCTCATTCTCCTTTCTTCTCCTTCTCTTCCTCCTCTTCCTCTCCTCTTCCTCTCCTTCTCCTTCTCCTTCTCCTTCTCCTTCTCCTTCTCCTTCTCCTTCTCCTTCTCCTTCTCCTTCTCCTTCTCCTTCT